ATCCCGCGGTCGCGGGTTCGATTCGTAACTTTTAAGTACAGACGTAGTGTGCGGAGCGTGCTCCCACAGCTCAGGCTGGAAAATCGCAACTTTTAAGTACAAACGTAGTACGCGGAGCACACCCCCGCAGCTCCGGCTTGAAAATCGCAGCTTTTAAGTACAAACGTAGTACGCGGAGCGTGCTCCTGCAGCTCCGGTTGGAAAATCGCAAATTTTAAGTACAACGTAGTACGCGGAGCACATTCCCGCGGCTCCGGCTGGACAATTGCAACTTTTAAGTACAAAAATAGTACGCGGAGCACATTCCCACAGCTCCGGCAGCACTTGCGCAGAGCAACTTGCGCAGAGTCACTTGCACAGAGCAACTTGCGCTCTGCGAATTGCACAGAGCACTTGCACAAAGCACTTGCGCAGAGCACCTTGCACAGACCAACTTGCACAGAGCACATGCGCAAAGCGCTCGCACGGAGCAACTGGCGCAGAGCACTTGCGCAGAGCAACTTGCTCAGAGCACTTGCGCAGAGCAACCTGCACAGAGCACTTGCGTGCAGCAGCGTGCAGAGAGCAACTTGCCCGAAAGCAGCCTGGAACAGTGCAGCTTGCGCAGACCACTTTCGTGAGAAATCATGCAGCGCAACTTGAGCAAAGCACATAGCCAAGTTGCACAGAGCCAAGTTGCACAGAGCCAAGTTGCACAGAGCCAAGTTACACAGAGCCAAGTTACATAGAGCCAAGTTACATAGAGCCAAGTGACATAGAGCCAAGTTACCATAGAGCCAATTTACCATAGAGCCAAGTTACCATAGAGCCAAGTTGTACAGAGCCAAATTGCACAAAGCCAAGTTGTACAAAGCCAAGTTACACAGAGCCAAGTTACACAGAGCCAACTTGCACAGAGCCAAGTTACATAGAGCCAAGTGACATAGAGCCAAGTTACCATAGAGCCAAGTTACATAGAGCCAAGTTACATAAAGCCAAGTTACATAGAGCCAAGTTACATAGTTCCAAGTTACATAGAGCCAAGTTACATAGAGCCAAGTTACATAGGGCCAAGTTACATAGAGCCAAGTTGCACAGAGCCAAGTTGCACAGAGCCAACTTGCACAGAGCCAAGTTACATAGAGCCAAGTGACATAGAGCCAAGTGACCATAGAGCCAAGTTACCATAGAGCGAAGTTACCATAGAGCCAAGTTACCATAGAGCCGAGTTACATAGAGCCAAGTTGTACAGAGCCAAATTGCACAAAGCCAAGTTGTACAAAGCCAAGTTACACAGAGCCAAGTTACACAGAGCCAAGTTGCACAGAGCCAAGTTGCATAGAGTCAAGTTACACAGAGCCAAGTTGCATAGAGTCAAGTTACATAGGGCCAAGTTGCACGAGCCTGCTTTGAAGAAGCTGTTGCATCGTGAAAAGCACATGATGGGAAGCGCTTGGGGAAAAATGCTTTCGGGCCAATCGTCCTCTAGTTTGTTTTTTTTTGTCCCCGCGCCTTTTTCCATCGCCTGGTTCTCCCCCCCTCAGAGAACAGTTAGGGGATGCCCCAGGGATGCCCCCCACAAGGGGTCTCGGCGGCTGTTTTTACGGAGGCCAGCTACGTGCAAGAAAGCTGGCCATTTGTACCCCGCGGCCCCCGGCCTCAGCGGGCCGGGCATCGGCTGGCAGAAGGGGGCCCGGCACCGCTGTCTGCAAGCAGCTCGCCAAGAGGCGGCAAACTCCCATCAAGATTGCGCAGCGCCCCGACCGGCATGCCCGCCAAGGAGACGGCAAAGGCGGACATCGCGGCGTGCGCCAAGTGCGCGGACCGGTCCGGAGCCTGGCGAGGGCCTCGCGCGCCTTGGCACGCGCAAGCGAGCGCACAAAAAAGGCGGCTTCGTCACTCCAACGGCCGCCGACCTCGACTTTCCAGCTTTCCGTGGAGCTAACGCTGTTTCAACTCTTGCACCAAGTCGACATCCCACATTGCCTGCAGAAAAACGTGTTGCGCGCTGTGGTGTCCACCTTGTTGGGCGGCGCCTGGCTCTCGCCTGTGCGGCCTGCTGCGGACCTTGGTGACGTCCTCGGCGCCGGCCTCTCCTTGCGCTGTCTCCTCTTCCTCGCCTCCTTCGGCGCTGCCTGTTTCAGGGGGGGTTTTGGGGTACTCATGGCTTTGTGCGGGCAAAAAGGTGTGTGGGGAAACAGTTTCCCTTCGGTATGGCTTCTGCGCGCAGCCCCGTTCCTGACCCTGCCAAGCGCGCCTTCCCACCTTTGTGCTCGTCCTTCTATCTCCCGCGTGCCTGTCGGTGACGCTGGTAGTGTTTGGTTTTATGGAGGTTTCGCCTGGGAAGAAACACATTTGTGAGGTTTCGCTCTAAAGAAAAAGGTGGAATTGGTTTCTGCGCTTTGCCAGCGGGAAAGAAAAACATTGTCCAGCAGGGCCGGAGAATGGTTCGGGGGGCACTGCGCATGCAAACAGTTTTGGATGAGCAGGGCCACCCGGAAACCGTTATTTGGATGGTTGACATCGTTTTGCGACAACAGCGCGGCCAATTAATGTGGCAGGTGCAGCGCTCCTGCTGCATTTGCGGCATTTTGCGAATAGAAAAAAACAACAATTTTGATTCCAGATCGACCACCTTTTGCGTGGTTCGTTTTAGTGATGCTTACGTGCCGGACGACGGCCATTCACCAAATGACGTTCTGATGGTTCAGTGTACATTGGTTGATGCCAGCAATACATGGTACTTGATAATTCTCGGCGGCAATTTCAACACATAATTAAGAATTCTGAGCATGCAATTACCAAACTCCCGACATTTCTGCTGTTCCTAGTTGATGGATGAGCATGTGAAAGAAACATGCGGATACAGGTTTGGTGTCTAGTGATCAACGTGTCCACCTCCAAATTTTGCACTTGACCGGGGGGTGGGGAAGTGCCAACCTACGGTTGTATGGCTTACGAAGGGAGCACTGGATTCAGCTACAGAAATTGCGTGCTAATCTGGTTGCACAATCGACTTGCAGCATTGGCTCACGGCGGTGCCCTACGCGAAAACCATTCCAATTCAGCATGTTGAGAAAGTCTCAACTCCGTTGCTGCGAGTCAATCTTTGCAATTTGCATAGTCAACTCTTGTTGTTTTGCCAGCCCATTGTGATGAAATGAAATTCAAAACAGGGCGTGCGCTGCGCTCAGATCGATTGACGTCCAGCAGCTGTATTACAGTCACCGAAGTTGAGAATCTTTTTACGAATTGTCAGCACGCAGCTGGCAGCCATTGGCACGTTTTTGTCATTGAGGTTGTGCGCTGGGTCGAAGGGAAGGGGTTGGGCACTTAGATGTTTGTGTGCCCACCCAGCCCAAAAAACTGGGCTGGCGTGGTGAGGTTTGGCTTCATTTCTCCAGATGATGGCGGCGGGTCGCCGAGATTGTCAACGGGACCGCTTGTTTCAGTCAGCGTTAGCGAATCAAGTTGTATCATTGTTCATCGTTAATCTTAGTGTATATCTCGTTGTTCATTGGTCACGCAAAGACTTGCATGCTGGGGCTGACATGATTGGCAGCAACGCCCGGAATTTGATCTACTGTACATGAAACTCTGCTGGTGCACCTTCAGCCAGGTCCAGACATCTTCGTCCACGCCAGGGAGGTGCCCAAAAGCATTGCTCCGCTTATCACCGCGTGTCGTGCAGGCTGGCATGTTGTCCATGGGGGACCGCGCGGGAAACTCACTTGAGCTTCCTGACTTCTCGCAGAACACCTGGATGTAGCAGCGAGGTCCAATTTCGGGAGAAGGAAGACAGAATGGGCCGCAGCCCCATGTTGGGCAATGGCTGCCAACACATAGCGCCTTGCGCCCAGGGAAAACGCGGTCTGAAGCTTGTGAAGTCACTGTCCTGAAGGTCCGCAGGGTGACCAATGCACTTGAAGCATTCTAGCCATGTGCAGGATGCTGGACGCACCAAAAAGAGAGGCCCGCGCCTCTGCCAAGGCTTACGCCATACTTCAGACTTGCCTCAAAGGTGATGACATGGCGTGCTCTCTTTCGCGCCAAGGGCGCGAGGTCGCCAGCGACGAGTACAGCTACTACGAGTACGAAGATGGGTATAGCCGGCAACTCATCCCCTATGCGAGGGACACGCGCACGCATGTTTGATTCTTGAAAGAGAGCGCGCATCCCCTGGTTGAGCAGGCGAATACTACGATGAGTACAGTGAGAGCGAAGATCGGCGAGGCACTTGCAAATCCCCTTCATTGAAGTCAAGCTTGCGTCATGTCGGTTTGCTGCCAGGCAGGAAAAAAGCAGGCCTGCCGGCAGCGCTAGCTGAACCATGCCGGCTTTGAAGTCTCAGGCAAACGGGGCAAGCGCAGCAGAAGCAGGTCGGCAAACGTGGCTGGAAGTCTCATAGCTCAACTGGGTTGCTAGCAGGCGAAGGCGTCCTCGCCAAGCGCCCAGCACGCGACTTGCTGGTGCGATAAGGAATGAGGGAATGAACCGTTTTGGGATTCCCTTAGAAAGGAAACCATAGGCGATTTTTTTCGAGCTCATTCCCTCGTTCCCTGCTGAGCATCAGCAAGGCGAGCATCCTTTCTAGAAAGCGTTGGCACAATTGGCCAAGGTGACCGTGAACAAAAGAGGAAAAGTAGTAGGGAACGAGCTCGCCAACGGCGACGGTGAGTTGGACAAGGGTGCGCTTGTGTGCGTTACGTTGGTTCTGATTGCAAGCGCCTTCTTTTGTGGAGATTTGCGTTTGAAGCGCGTGTCCGGCTCATACTCTATGCATGTTGGTCCACACGCAGAGGAACAGAACAACAGTCTCTGGCGCTCTCAGCATAGACATGTTCGACATGGAAAGTACCCATGCCAAGTTCGACGACTTGGTTGTTAGGCTTTTGCGAAGCGTGGGAACAATGGTTTGAGGGGGGATGTTTCCTAGCTGCAAGGCACATAGAATACCACCCAGCCTTGATTTAACGGAGACCACGCAGCCCTTGAAACCAGCAAATGGTCATGGAGTCATACTGTGATAGTCTACCTTGCGCCCCCATGACTCACCATTGCTAATATGATTGCGTGGCAGCTTCCTCGGCCAAAGTGACAATTTTGCTCTTGCCTGTGTGCTTCTGGGCTTTCTCGTTGCTTGACGGTCAGGTTCTTATATGCGCTGCAGGCCGCAGCTGAGGGACGTGTGAAGTGCATGCCTGTGAGCTTGCAAGGCAGCCTGCTTGCTTGGCTGCGCCTCATTGGTTCTGGTGGTCGGCCTGGCATGGCTGCCAATGACTCTGTGGCAAGGTTGCTGACATTTTTTGACTCGACAGGTACTCTTGGTGTGTGCCTACCGTAGCGGTGTACAGGCCACTGCCGTGGCCTTGAACTGCAGATGCTGGTGCGTTTTGCGTTCACCTTTGCAGACACAAGAATCAGAGTGCCACCACATTTTGACGCAAGTACGTGACTCCCACCGTTCGTTCTGAGGACAAGCCTCATGTTTCCGTCATTGTGCTGGGTGATATTGGTCGCAGCCCGCGAATGCAGTCATGCTGCCCGGGACGGCGTTTTTGCAGCGCTCGGCTTTTCCAGAGAGGCAGGGAGGAGCTACTGAACTGAGGTATCACGCAGTGTCTCTGGCAAGGCATGGCCGGAGGCTTTGCGTCTCACTTGGTTGGATTTCGCCTCTTGGTTTTGATGAGGCTGCGAGGTTTCACTGGTGGGGTATGCTGGAGTCATGGCCCCAGAGTAAAGAAAGCATGCGCGCTCCGATGGCAAGAGTCAAGGCGCAACCGATTATGGTTGAGCTGACCTGCTTAGCTTTGAATCAAGAGATGGTGGCCCATGCCTATAAGACTCATGTCACACCATGGTTGCTTGCCAGGACGTCGTCTCAAACCCGCACATCCACATACGCCACATTGCCACAGTGGCAGCGACGGCAAGTTTACATGGCTGGGTGAGGCATATGAGGGTGTCTTCTTTGTGGACTCTTCCCCTTTTTTGTAGTTTTAAAGGGATGCCAGGAGAACAAAACACAATTTTGGGGGTCCCCTAAGAAAAGGAGACACCCATATTGCTGCGCCAGGAGATTCCTCCAAGGCTTCCTTTCAGCATCCGCGCTGGACTCAAGGTGGACGTGGGATTTCACCCATGGCCTTCTGCTCCATCGCTGGCCGCCAGGCATTCTTCTTGCTTTGGGGTTTGGCGCGGGTCCTTCTGCGCGCTGACTCAGCTGCGCGGTTTTTTGGCATCGTGAGGGCAACAAAAAGCCGCTTGAACCTGGCTTCAGGTTCCAGGCTCCCCGGTCTGACGTACTGCTGGTGCAGAACCCGTGGGAGCCCCACTTGTTTTTGGCATTGTGCCCCTCTCGCACTGCTGCTGTGTGGTCCATCACGACAACAGCAACCTTTGGGCACGTCTGTTTTTTTTTGTTTTGTTTTCCCTGACGCGGACGCCATAGCTCCCGCTTTGAGGCCAGCCATCCCCACGCTGCTAGTAGCGCGCATGGTTGCATCATTGCAGGCCGGCTTTTCGTCAACCAACCTGCCGCAGATTGGATGCTAACAGGCGGCCTCGCTCATCATCGACTTTCACAACTTCGGCTATTCATTGCTTGCCCTGAAGCCCGGCCGCCAGATTGACGGTTTGAAGCTCCATGCTCCGAATCCGGCGATTTGGCGCCAGGTTGGGCCCAAGGCATCCACTGGTGCAGGACCCTGCCCAGCACGCAGCCTCACTCATGGCACTCGCTTGGCAAGGCTCACTTGGTCTATGAGAGGGTGTGCAGCCGCATGGCGAACGATGCCTTCTGCGTCACCATGCAGCGCTTGCCTCATGGAACTGGAGGTTCCATGCTCCTGGGGGCGGGGGGGGGGGAGGGGAACACCTTCTCAAGCCCCTTATCGAGCCCTTGGTAAGGCCGTTGTCACGGGTTTGTCATGGGCTTCCTCCCCATGACCTGAGTTTTGAAGTTTGGGTTAGCCAAGCCCGAGGATGCAAAGGCGACTGGCGGAGCAGTGGCGAGCCAGCGGCTCACAGCGCGTGCCAAAGATGTCGGCTGCGACCGGTGCAGCAGTCTCAGGTCGCAGCAGTGCCGCTGCATGATCGCCCGGCCGCAATTTTCAGGCCGCGTTTGGCTTGCAATTTAGGCAAAATCGATTTGTCGAATGAGGAATGACACCCCAAAATGGTGAGTGTCCTGGAGGGAAACCCCTTTAAAATAGGGTGCGTTCCAATCAAAGCACTCGTTTGATGTCGAGCACCAGATGCCAGTCTTCCAGGAGCATGTCGACGTGATATGCATGATAATTCCGAATTCCAGTCGCTGTTTTGCAACACGTCGCATCTCTGTTCTTCTGAGCATGCCAGGTGCTGATGCTTTCCATGCCAACCTTGATACTGTTTACACCGCCCATGCAATCTGCTTTGTTGCACTGCACAGCACTTCTGCTGCCAGTGCTTTTTGTTGCTTACAGGGCTAAGGGCCTTTATGCAACGTTCACCTTCTGCCCGGCTCGCTTTGCTTCTGCAGTTTGCGTTTTGTCGCAGTTTGCATTCGGCAACACGCCGCGAAACGTGGTGAGAAACCATCAGCATGTCGCACTAGGTCGCTCGTCCAGGGCATCCAGTACTCTCCTATAAAACCCCTCCTTTACGACCGCTACAAAATTTTGCACGCAGACTTGGCGCAATCAGAGCAGTCAGCCCTTGGTCAAAGCGCGTATTGGTGCAGTTGGTGAGAAGGCCACGCACCAGTTTGTGCTTCAACATTGCATGCGAAACTGAATTATTTGCTCCATCGTCGAATCCTCCGTCACCGTCAGCCCATTGTGCATAGCAGAATGAGTCCTTTGAAGTCATGTTGCTGAACTCTTTGGACTGCAGACCAACCGGGTTGGACCAGCAGCACCGTCTCTTCCAGCGCTTACGGGGTGATGGGCTTCTAGGTGCGTCGCCACCTCAGGATGTGGCGCGGATCAGGCGTGCCTTGTGCTTGCAAAGGCTGGATGGTTGGTGGCCACAGGGCGAGGGCAAGTGCCCCTATTACAAAAAATGAGCCAACGCCATGAGTGCCTGCTGAGGTGAGGGCCTCTTCACCCAAATTTCCAGTGATGGTCATGTGAGCCAGGGCCTTCATTGCAGAGAAGCCATTGAGGGGGTCGAGAGTGGCTTGGATTTCTTGGAGGCTCCGATCTGTGCAGGCCGAAGCACCCCGAAACCCTGCACCGTGTTGACCCTAAACCAACATCTGAGGGCTAAACTGTGCCGACCCTGAACCAAACCTGACCTCTAAACCACGACCCCAAACCAAAACCGTCCCAAACTGTCTTGACCCTGAAGCAAAGCCGGACTCGAAACTGTGCTGACCCTAAATCAAAGCCTAAGCAGTACAAAATCTGGTTGACCCCAAACCAAAATCCAAACCGTCCATGTTGATCCCAAACTGAAGCTTACACCCTAAACCATCCGTGTAGACTCTAAGCCGACACCTTCGCCTCAACAGGCCAGCGCGGGACCGGATGCGAGGAAACGCTGGAAAACTGAGCAAGCAAATGCTATGCATCGGGGGGCTGGCATTGGCTTGCCTTTCAGCTTCAAGGTCGGTCACCGTGCAGACCGCACATTGTCATCAGTAGCCATCTCAGTCAGACCGGAAAAAAGGGCATTCTGCACCATACCTCATCTTTGATTGACAGGTTCCACATCATGGACTCCGGACGAGGACTTTGGCCAATTGTTAGACGTGGCTACCTAAGCGCCTGGATGGCACAGCATGGACACGAATGCGAAGAGGGATGGCTACCTTGTTTTGAAACCAGGCTCTGCCAGCCTTGAACAGTGACCTGGTCAAGGTGGGTGGCACGTGGAACGTGGGGCTATTTGTCAGCTTGTGACGTCTTGGGGCAGTGCTCCTTGGGAGGCTGCCGCCCGTGCCGTGGTGGTGGTGACTGGCAAGGGCGATCTGCAACAACAATTCGAGGCGTTTCATGCCTGACTTGGGCTGGAAACTGTGTGGCTGTTGGCCTGGGCGGGCTTTCCAGGAACGCTACAGCTCCATGTCGCTCCTTGCCTGCAAAAAGAGGTTGGGGTTTACATGGTGGCTTTGCTGCGAGTTGAGGAAGCAATTGGACGCGGTTCGCGTGCTGACCTTGTGGCTTGAAGCCTACTGGGGAGATTGTGTCATCCAGGGTTCCATTTTTTGACTACCCCAAGGTAGACTTAAACCCAGGGGTTCCCTTTTGGGGAAATCAACCACCCCTGGGTTTGAGTCGACTTTGGGGTAGTCAAAAAACAGAACCCTGTTGTCATCTACTTTCACTTGACTGCAAGTGACTGAACCTAGATGCAGGCTCAGCTTCGCCGACTACGCGCTGCTGCTGGGCAGTGCGGACTTGGGCCTAAGTGATGGGCTTGGTGACTGGCTCAAATGGCTGTGGGTCAAAACCAATGACTGGGGGTACGGGATTTTGACCCATGGCCAAATCTTGTGACTGCAGTTGAAGCAAGGTTTGCATACATCATCCTCGGGCATCGATTTGCCAATGAAGGCTCACTGGGCGTTGAATCTCACGGTTTGCAGCTTTCGGCGATCAGGTGGTGGACATGTTTGGAGCGGGCCTGCCGGTATGTGCAAGATCTTTTGCGGCATTGCCCGAGTATCAGCCTGAGGTTTGCACAACCGTGCGCACACATCCGCTTGGATGGGCTTGAGAACGGGCGGCCACGCAGGCTGGTCCGCCATGGAGAGAATGGCTTTGCCTTCCACAGCACGGAGGACGCAACCTGTCGAATTCTTCACGTTCGGCGGTTCATGCCGATGGCTCTTGCAGGAGCTTGCGCAGAGCTTGGCCCATGCGCTGGGTGTGGGCACCTCAAACTCTTGGACATATGGCGCCAGCTTTTGGGCTCGGAGTGAGGCCAAGTTCTTGAAATTCCATGTTTGGATAACTGGAGAAGAACCAAGCACACTCCTTTTTTCGCGCGAGCGGATGAGGTTGCTTCATACAACTTGCCCCAGCTCAAGTCCACAGCTGGGGAGCCCCAACCTTGGAGTGAGTCCGGGCGAAAACCTTCAGCGCAAGTTTGTGTTGTTCGTGTTTTTCAGCGGATCTGAACATATCCACAGCTCTGCGCACATGTTGGGCTTAACTTATTTTCTTGCACCCCTGTTTGGACTTGAGTGCGCTGGCCAAGCTTATCCTTCCACTGCTTTGCACAAGCTCGCGTGAAAGGCAAAAGCTCAACGGATGGGATGCGAATTGGGCAGCGGCCTCAGTCACCGAAGCGGCAACTCTGCTTGTTCTGCTTGCATTCAGGACTCCGTTGCCTGGCCTCTGCTCTCCAAGCATTTGAATCGACTGCGAAGGACATGCGTAGAACTTGCTGAGCTGCCTGCCCAACATGCCCCGTGTGCGCGATACGCAGCTGTTCTTTGTTCTTTTTGTGTCCTTGGTTTGCGTCCTGCCCTCGTCACAGGCATTGATTGTCGCAATGGCGCGCTGCAGGAAAACTGAATGAGTGCCACCGCTCAGTTCAGACATGGTCCCAAGCTGCAGTCAGGAAGCTTTGACTGCTTGACACGTGATGCGGGCCTCAGCCGCAAAAGCTGCGTGCATGTGCCGCTTGATTTGTTGCTGGTAGTTCCTTTCCCTCGAAGCCAACCTGGCTGATTACAGTGCATTTTTTGGAGCCCCTTCATTCAGACATGTTCTACTGTGTTATTTGTTGCTCCCTGCAGGGCCGAGCTAAATGTGCCTGGAAGGTGGACGCAGCGTGGTTGGTTGGTTGGTTGGTTGGTGGGTGGGTGGGTTGGGTTGGGTTGGGTTGGGTTGGCTTGGCTTGGCTTGGCTTGGCTTGGCTTGGCTGGGGTTGGGTTGGGTTGGTTGTTTGGTTCGGTTGGGTTGGGTTGGGTTGGTTTGGGTTGGTTTGGTTTGGGTTGGGTTGCGTTGGGTTGGTTGGTTGGCTGGCTCCTCCTCAAAAAGTATCAAAGCAACAAGTGGTTGGCCTGGCACGGTTTTACCAGCAAGTATTCCGTGCAAGAGCATTTGCACTGTCCTCCCCTCCCTTCCCCTCCTCCCCTCCCCTCCCCTCCCCTCCCCTCCCCTCCTCCCCTCACCTCCTCCCCTCCCCTCCCCCTCCCCTCCCCCTCCTCCCCTCCCCTCCCCTCCCCTCCTCCCCTCCCTCCCCTCCCCTCCCCTCCTCCTCCTCCCCTCTCACGTCACCACTCTCACCACACTCTCACCAACCGCATACCTCACTCTCACCTACCCCACTCTCACCTCGCTCTCACTCTCACTCTCACTCTCACTCTCTCTCACTCTCACTCTCACTCTCACTCTCACTCTCACTCACCTCACAATGACCTCACACTCACCTCTCACTCATCTCTCACTCACCTCTCATTCACCTCAGACTCACCTCACCTCACCTCACCTCACCTCACCCTCTCCTCACCGTCACCTCACACTCACCTCTCACTCACTCACTCACCCACCCACCCACCCACCCACCCACCCACCCACCCACCCACCCACCCACCCACCCACCCACCCACCCACCCACCCACCCACCCACCCACCCACCTACCACCCACCCACCCACCTACCACCCACCCACCCACCTACGCACCCACCCACCC